CAACATCTAGCTTTGACAATCAGCATCTCTCTTTCACTCTCTCTCTCACACACAAACTCTCTGTCTCTCTTTCTGTCTATATGTCTTTATCTCTCTTTCTCTCTCTTTCTGTAGCTTCAGACCCATCCTTTCCATGGGAGGCCCAGAACTTGTTTGCAACCATGGATCAAAATTCATGAAGTGGCTCTCATTATTGACCACTCCTGCATTAATGTGATTTAACAGATTTTTGTGTGTGTAATTGCCTAGATTTTTTTTAAAAAAAGCCAGTTAAAAAAATGAAATTCCATCACATGGCATCATATTGATACCTTCATGGTCGTCATCAAGGTTGGAACCTTTAAACCTCCACCACATACACCTGCCATTTCAGTTAATGGGTAACTGATATCGGTAGTCGATAGTCCCCAGGGAGCAATAGTAGAGGAAGATGGGACACTTTGCCAGTGGGGTTCACAGAGTTTGCTGAAAGCAAGGAACTGGTGAGACTCAGGGTATGTCTACACTAGCCACCCTAGTTCGAACTAGGGTGGCTAATGTAGTCATTCGAACTTGCAAATGAAGCCCGGGATTTAAATATCCCGGACTTTATTTGCATGTTCCCGGGCGCCACCATTTTTAAATGCCCAGTAGTTCAAACTCCCTGCCCACGGCTACACGCGGCACGGGCTAGGTAGTTCCAACTAAAGCCCCTAATTCGGATTACCTTTATCTCAGCCTAGGAGCAGCCATTATAGGGAATGAATCCTAACTTTGATCTGGAACATGCTCCAGTCATTTTGGGCATGTCTACGCTGCAGGGCAAAATTCGAATTAAGATATGCAACTTCAATTACATCAATTGTGTAGCTAAAGTCGAAATAACTTAATTTGGGTTTTGGCGCTGTCTACACAGCAGGAAGTCGAAGGAAGAACACTCTTTCTTCAACTTCCCTAACTCCTCCTGAAATGAGGGATAGAGGAGTCGGAGTAAGAAGTCCTCCAGCTCGACGTTATTTTGAAATAATGGCTTGCTGTGTAGAGGCGCATTTTGGTATTTTGAAATAACTTCAGTTATTTTGAAATAATGCTGCAGTGTATACATGCATTATCCTATGGGGATAATTCATGTGCAATTGGGTCAGTATAAGGAGCTCTGAGAGTCTCAAGCATCTTTAGAGATTTCAGCTAAGCTCTGGCAAGAACCAACTCCTCAATTATGTAAAGGCTTATAACTTAGTCAGAATTTTTCAATTTTCACAGAAACAGCAAAAGAAGCATTCCTGGCACAAAAGATACTGACAAGCCAAAGCATGGCCATATCAGCATTAGAACTATCCAAGAAAGTGTCACTGGATTTTTTTTTTTTTTACAATAAGCAAATCAGGATATATTTCCTTTCCTTATTCTCTGAAATGGCTAACCTGTTTTGGCTGACATTAAAAAGAAAGAAAATAAGTTAAATAATTGACCCTAATTGACCCTAATGCAGACTCCCAGAATGGAAAACTTCTAAACAAATGGTTTGGCAACATTATAAACAACTGAAAACAGTGTACTTCGAATGGGAAATGGTAAGCAACCTTAATTAAAAAACCGAGGTACCAGTTCTCCCCAAATATAATACAATTACTATATCAATATCACCCTGCAAACAAATCAGACAAAATTTAAACATGTAAAGTTGTGTTGCATGGTGGGATATATACACGTTTCACAAAAACTTTTACCTTTTGCATAGAAAAAATATGATCACTGCCATTAGGATTGTTCCAAATGCTATGAGAAGTAATACAATTGTATACATAAGAACTTCATCCTCTGGGTTACCTTAAAGAAAGATGGTTACAAAGATTATACATGTTTAGCACAGTAAAGATGAACACAGGTGACAAAGTCAAATTGCTGCTTAGAGTACGTCTAGACTACAGAGGTTTTCCGGGATACTGGAGGCATTCTGAAAAAGCTCTGCCATGTCCAAGGAACACATCTGCTTTCCTTTGCCTCCGGGGGCGAGTACCTTATCCACTCCATCACTGGAGGAACCCCCAACTACCTACATTCTGCCCCTCCTTATCCTTCCTTTCTTCCAAGGGTGCCTGGTCCATCCATCACCAAGATGCTTTTGGAAAAAATTTTCAGAAAAACAGATATTTTTTTCGATATCCCTGTAAACCTCATTTTACAAGAAAGAAGGGATGTTCCAAAAGAGATTTTTTTTTCTGCCATTTGGTCCCGTGTAGACAGGAAAAATGTCAGAAAAGACACTTTCAGAAGAAAAACAGAAAAAGATATATAAATTGAGGTTCGCAATTTGCGTATCTTCTTCTGACTTCTCTTTGTAGTGTAGTCAGAGCCTCTGATGACTCATAGCAATCAATGGCAGCATGAAAACCCTTCTTGTGAACTCTGAACTTCCTTGCTGAGTAAAGGACTGAGGAGCAGATAGAATTTATAAATCCAACAACAGAAGCATAGATCATTCCAGGCCATGGAGCTCGGCAGTTTATGAGGACTCCGTCAGTAGACAAAAGGAGAAAAGTAAATAAAGGAAATGCTCAACATCCTTACCAAACTCAATGGTCTCACTCCATTCCCCCCATTTTTCGCTTATGAGACAAGCATCTCCCTTGGCTCTGATTTTCAAGGAGTATTTTTTTTTCACATTGTAATTCTGAAATGTGAAATGTGTTCCTCGTGCCTAAAAGCAATGCTGCTATTATTATTATTATTATTACTATTATTTACATTTATTAACATAGTGCCTAAGAACCAGGCAAAAATGCCACCCCACTGTGATAGACATTATATAGCACAGAATAATTAGACTAACTACGCTTTTTCATTGTACATGTAGATGTTGATAACATGAAAGATTTAATTTATTGATCCAAGTTTACAATGGGTACATCTACACAACAGCGTTGTTTTGGAATAACTATTTCAAATGACGTTATTTCAAAATAATAAAGTGCACGTCTACACTGCAAGCCATTATTTCGACATAATGTCGAGCTGGAGGACTTCTTACTCCGACTCATGGTAACCCTCATTTCACGAGGAGTAAGGGAAGTTGAAGGAAAAGTGATCTTCCTTCGACTCTCTGCTGTATAGACAGTGCCAAAAGCTGAGTTAAGCTATTTCGACTTCAGCAATGCAATTAACATAGCTGAAGTTGTGTAGCTTAATACGACTTTTGCCGTGCAGTGTAGATGTGCCCAAAGCATATATTTATGCATGTTTATGTATGCAGAATATGGTTGTGACACATTGTACCTCAAAATGGAATTCTGAAACCCCCATATTCATCATGCATATATGGTTGTGATATGTATGCGAAGCAAGGGAGGTAAGATATCTCGTGAAAGGGCATGACTGGCAGAAACCCACTGTTCTTTCCAAACTTGTATAACATTACTGTGTATGAAGTTATGAGAGTTTGCTGTATGGTTGCTACTAGGGCTTATCAAGCAATTACTAATTAATTAAAAATTAATCCCAGTCATGCTCTTAACAGAATATCTGTTGTGCCACTGCCTGCTAGAAATTATAACAGAACTCTATTGTCCAATTCTTTTCATTTCAGATCATCTTAAACTTTGTCAGGGGAAGTTCAAGCTGCATGACTGATACCGTCAGGTATCCTGAACTGTCCCTACAAATTTTTATGGAAGAATTTGAGCAAAATCTATGCAAGGACCTATTACACTGCTCCTGGTAGGACTTTTTGAAAATCTTTGCAAAACCACAATAAGCCCATATGTTAGTATGGAAAGAGAATTGTTACCATAGGAAGCTCAGTTTTGTTTTCCTCAGGATTGGCCTGCAAAAGAAAGAAAAATCTTTATTATATTATTTTGGGTTTGTTATGCTGTAATAATGTTTTTCTTTTCTTTTCCTTTTGTAGAGGGGAGGCTTTATGCGCTGCCTATGAGTAGAAAGGAAGCCAAGATCAACGACATGAACCTTCTCCAACCTTGGAGGGTATGAGAGGTCCTGCTAATATCTCCAGAATTGGGGCCCAAATGTGTAGCGGTGAAGCTCCAGCAACAGTGTGAGCAGATGGACTCTTCCTGGCAAAAAAGGAAAGAAATCCTCCCGCTAATGGGTCCTTTGTTGTGGTGTTCTCCAACTGACTAGGGAGAACACAGTTGTTTCAACATCACTTAGGGTGTGTCTGAACTACACCCCTCTGTCGGCAGAAAGATGTAGATTAGGCACATTGAAAGTGCAAATGAAACTGGGATTTAAATATCCCACACTTGATTTGAATAATGGCGGCTGACGTTTTTTTTTTAAATGGGGCTTTATGAAAAAAAACTGGCAGTTTAGACAGGGATCTTTTGAAAATAAAACCCTTTTTCAAAAGATCCTGTACACCTAAAAAAATGAGGTTTACAGGATCTTTCGAAAAAGGGTTTTATTTTCGAAAGATCCCCATCTAAACTGAAGTTTTTTTGTTTTTTTAAAAAAAGCCCCGTTTTGAAAAAAAGCTATGGCCGCCATCATGCAAATGAAGCACAGGAAATTCAAATCCCAGCTTCATTTGCAATATTGACGTGCGTAATCTACATCCCTCTACCGACTGGAGGGTGTAGTTTTGACGTACCCATAGTGATTACCCTGGGCCAGATAGTCCAAGAGAATACTAGACTCTGGTCACAAAGAATGTATGAAATAGTCCGAGTTGAAGTGAAAGCAATGCTGAAAATGGAGATGATTATAGAATCCAGAAGTAAATGGAGCAGTTCTATAGTTCTTGTTCCCAAACAAGACAGTTTGGTTTGATTCTGCATCAACATCAGGAAGGTCAGTGCCATCACAAAATTTAATGCCTACCCAATGCCAAACTGCACAAGTTATTAGAATGGCTGGAACCAGAGAAGCACCTGAGCACTACTGACCTGACAAAAAGTTACTGGCAGATTCCATTATTCCCTTTCTCACAAGAGAAAATGGCTTTGCCCACCCCTTTTGGGCTCTTCATATAAAACACCAGGCCTTTTGACAACCACCTAACTGTTGCGACCTTCCAATAGCTGACGAATAATAACCTAAATATCACCATTGATGTTCTGCACCATACATCATCAATATCATTAACTATCCCCATCTGGAAAGATCATTTACCACATTTAAAGGAGGCGTTAGAAGCACAACGTGGACTTTTCTATAATTACATGAAGATCAATGCTCTAAAGTTTGATTTAGCAGGTCTAGTAAGAACCTGCTAACTCAAAAATGGATGGCAATCCCCATAACCTCAGTATTCTATGGGGTTGTGAAGAGTAAGGGAAGACCAGGGGAGAGTTTGTCCTGTTGACCTCCTGCAGTGGTATGGAGGAGGCTAACTAACTCCTCTGGGTCTGTTCCAAACTAATGTGACTCACTAGAAAGGTTTGTTCAGCCTGGATAGGGAGGAGATTAATAGAGAAAAACCTACCAAAGGAAGGGGCAGTGAATAAGAAAGAATGGTTACTTACCTCATAACTGATTCTTCGAGATGTGTTGCTCATGTCCATTCCAATTAGGTGTGTACGTGCAGTGTGCATGCGCCGTTGGAAGTTTTTCCCTCAGCAGTACCCTTACGGCCAGCAGGGGAGCCCCCTGGAGTGGCACTGGTATATCAGCCCATATATACCTCTGCTGGCCCCCTCACCCACTGAGTTCCTTCATACCGGAATACTCTGGAGAAAGGGCGGTGGGTGGGGATTTGGAATGGACATGAGCAACACATCATGAAGAATCACAGTTACAAGGTAAGTAACCGTTCTTTCTTCTTCAAGTGATTGCTCATGTGCATTCCAATTGGGTGATTCCAAAGCAGAACCTATGGAGGAGAGCCGGATGTTGAAGCTACAGAGGAGTGGAGGACTGCCCTGCCTAGGGCAGCGTCTTCGCTGGCTTGATGTGTTAGCACATAGTGATTGGCAAAGGCATGGACAGAGGACCATGTAGCAGCTCTTCAGATGTCCAAGATGGGAACCTGTGCCATGAACGCGGTGGAGGCTGCCACGGCTCTTGTGGAGTGCACTCTAAGGAGCGGAGCTGGTACCCCCGCCAGGGCATAGCACTCCTTGAAGCAAGCAGTTATTTAGGAGGAGATCTGCTGGGAGGATGTGGGTTGGCCCCTCACCCATCCTGCGATGGACACAAAGAGTTGTGGTGACTTCCTGAATGTTTTTGTCCTATCTAAATAAGAGGCTAATGCCCTATACACGTCCAAAGTGTGTAAAGCCTGTTCTTTCCCAGACACATGTGGTTTGGGGTAAAAGACCAGTAGGAAAATATCTTGGGAGGTCTGGAAAGAAGACACAACCTTGGGCAGAAAAGCTGGGTGGGGGCGAGCCTAACCTTGTCTTTGAAAAACACCATGTAGGGAGGATTCAAGGTAAGTGCCCTGAGTTCGGATACTAACCTGGCAGATGTGAGTGCCACCAGGAGAGACACCTTATAAGATAGGTATATGAGGGAACACGTTGCTAATGGTTCAAATGGGGGTCCCGTAAGTTTGGAAAAACACAGGTTTAGGTCCACTGGAGGATGGACTGGCAGACATGTGGGTAGAGCCTGCCCAACCCTTTCAGAAACCCGTTGACCATCGAATTTAGCAAACGGGGTTTTCCTCCCTTCCCCTAGGTGGAAGGCCAAGATGGCTACCAAATGAACCTTGATGGAGGAGGAAGAGAGGTCTTGGAGCCTGAGATCCAACAGGTAATCCAGGATCAGGGAGATTGTAGCCCGCCTTGGGTGCACCCCCTTCTGGGAAGCCCAGATGCAGAACTGCTTCCACTTAGCAAACTAAGTGGTCCTAGTGGAGATCTTCCTGCTACCCAGCAGGACTTCTTGAACCCATTCTGAGCACTGAAGCGCCTCAGCCATCAACCACGGAGCTTCCACACTGTCAAGTGCAGCGAGTGCAGGTCCGGGTGGCAAAGCCTGCCTGAGTCCTGAGATATCAGGTGCGGGAGCGGTGAGGGTATGTCTACACTAGCCCCCTAGTTTGAACTAGGGAGACTAATGTAGACATTTGAAGTTGCAAATGAAGCCCGGGATTTAAATATCCCAGGCTTCATTTGCATCTTCCCGGGCAACGCCATTTTTAAATCCCCCTTAGTCTGAACTCCGTGCCCGCAGCTACACACGGCACGGAGTAGGTAGTTCGAATTAGGATCTCTAATATTAGGATATTTAATTCCCGGGCTTCATTTGCAACTTCGAATGCCTACATTAGCCTCCCTAGTTCGAACTAGGGAGCTAGTGTAGACATACCCTGAGAGGGTCATGGGTCTCTCGCATGGCAGGTTGAGGAGGGTTGAAAACCACTGTTGCCTGGGCGATGCCAGGGTGATTAGAATCAGGAACGCCCTAAATTTCCGCACTCTGAAGAGGACCCTGTGGATTAGCGGGAATGGCGGGAAGGCATACAGCAGGGCCTGCAGCCAAGGAAGGAGGAGAACATCTACCAGAGAACCCTACCCCTGTCCCATGAGGGAGCAGAACCGAGGGCACTTCTTGTTCTGCCCTATGGCGAATAGATCTAGATTGGGAGACCCCCATGCACGGAAGATAGATTGAGCTACATCCCACCTCAAGGACCTTTCGTGTCCTGCAAAGGATCTGCTCAGCCTGTCCTCCAGGACGTTTTGGGAACTCAGGAGGTACGACGCCATCGGGTAGATATCCGCCCCGATGCAGAGGCCCCACAAGCGAATCGCTTCCAAGCACAGGTGAGGAGAACGAGCCCTGCCCTGCTTGTTTATATATGCCACTGCTGTAGTGTTGTCTTACAAGATGATGACAGACTTGCCCCTGAGGTGGGAAAAGAAAACCACACAAGCCAGACAGACTGCCCAGAGCTCCCTGATGTTGATATGCAGGGAGATCTTATCCACAGACCACATACCTTGCATGTGTAGCTCTCCTAAATGGGCTCCCCAGCTGGTGTCCGATGCATCCGTGACAAGGCGAGTGGACGGCACTGGTCTGGAGAATGGGACACCCGCGCAGACCTCTGCTTGATGGGTCCACCAGTCCAACACAAGGAAAATGGGGGCAGGAACCGTCACCACTCTGTCGCAACAGTGGGCGGCCAGATTGTGGACTCACGATAGCCACATCTGTAGTGGGCGCATGCACAGTCTGGCATGCTACACTACATAAGTACAGGCGGTTATGAGGCCCAGGACGCACATGCAGGTCTGGGAAGTGGTAACTGGAAAATTCTGGAGAGCCCTGACTGCTGCCTCTATTGTGAGAAACTGGGAGCTGGGTAGAGAGGCTCTTGCTGACATAGAGTCCAGGGTAGCGCCCACAAACTCTATTATTGGGGTGGGAGTTAGAGTTGATTTGTCCAGGTTTAGCAAGAGGCCTAAGTCGTCGAACAGTGTGTGGACTATGGTGATGTGGGCTCCCACCTGAGTCTCTGAGCCCCCCCAGAGGAGCCAGTCGTCTAGATAGGGGAACACCTGGATGCCCCTTTTCCTGAGCGTGGTGGCCACAACCACTATGCATTTGGTGAAGATCTGAAGGGCCATGGAAATATCAAAGAGGAGGGTTGTGAATTAGTAGTGGTCCGGGGCCACAGTGTGTGGACTATGGTGATGTGGGCTCCCACCTGAGTCTCTGAGCCCCCCCAGAGGAGCCAGTCGTCTAGATAGGGGAACACCTGGATGCCCCTTTTCCTGAGCGTGGTGGCCACAACCACTATGCATTTGGTGAAGATCTGAAGGGCCATGGAAATATCAAAGAGGAGGGTTGTGAATTAGTAGTGGTCCGGGGCCACAGTAAATCGGAGGAACCTGTGGTAGTGGGGGGGGGGGGGGGGGGGTGGGGGGGGGCGATTGAAATGTGGGAGGAAGCATCTTTTAAGCTGAGGGCAGTGTACCAGTCTTCGGAGGCTAACAAGGGAATTATGGATGCCCTGAATTTTGCCATTTTGAATTTTGCTTTGGAGATGAAGGAGTTGAGGGCTCTGAGGTCCAGGATGGGACGGAGTCCCCCTTTGGCCTTTGGGACCAGAAAGTAATGGGAATAGAAAACCCTCTCCCCTGAAACTTGGGGGAAGACGCTCTACTGTCCCTATCGTAAGGAGATATTGGACCTCCTCTTGAAGCAGAGACTCATTATAGGGGTCCCTGAAAACAGATGGGGTAGGAGGTTGGGAAGGAGGGGGCAAGTGGAAAGGGATTACATAACCCCTTTCCACTATCTCCAGCACCCATCGGTCCGAAATAACAGACCACCAGGCTTGGATGAAGTGGGATAAACGGTGCTGGAAGAGTAGTGGGGAGACTGGTAAGGTGCCCTCAAAGGTCCAGTCAAAAACCCTGACGTGGGCCGGAGGGTTTGTTAGGGGGCCCCTGTTGTGGTCTGGGACTGGGTGAGGACAAGGCCTGTTGTTCCTGCCATTACCACTCCTGCTTCTATGGCAGGAGATGTTGGGGCATGGACCCTGAGGAGGTGCTCTAGGAACATTCCTAATGGTGAAGGTGCACTTCTGGGTAGCAGGAGCGTGCATGCGCAATGATTTTAAGACGGCTCAGGTATCTTTGAGTCCATGGAGCCTTTGGTCGGTTTGCTCTGAGAAGAGCGAGCGATCCTCAAAAGGAAGGTCTTGTATAGTATTCTGTAGCTCTGGGGGGACCCTAAAGCCCTGGAGCCAGGAACTGCGGCATAAGACCACTCCGGGGGCCATTACCCTGGCAGCGGCGTCTGCCACGTCGAGAGCCTTCTGGAGAGCTGCCCTGGAAATCGCTTTCCCCTCCTCATGGAGAGCTTTGAACTCTGCACTGGAGTCCCTTGGGGACAGCTCTGTGAACTTGTCCATCCAGGCCCAGGTGCTAAAAGGATACCGTGACAAGAGGACCTGTTGATTGGCAATGCAGTACTGGATACCATCAAACGCGTAGACCTTTCTGCCTAACAGATCAGTCTTCTTGGCTTCCCTGTTCTTAGGAGTGGTGGTGGGCTGACCTTGCCTCTCCCTCTGGTGCACCTCTTGTACCACAGGGAGCCTGGGGGAGGGTGGGAAAAAAGATGCTCACTGCCCTATTGGGGAACAAAGTACTTCCTTTAGGCCTGCTTATCAGTTGGGGGGGATGGATGCAGGGGTGTGCCACAAAGCTTTGGAAATCTTGGCCACGGTCTTACTGATCAGAAGAGCCACTCTGGAGGGGGCGTCCGCATGGAAGATATCTACTGTGGGGTCTGAGTCATTGGACACCTTAGCCGTCTGAACTCCCAAACTTTGGGCTAGACAGTGGAGGAGGTCCTGGTGAGCCCTGGCATCCATAGAGGCCATGGATGGTCTGGGGTCTCCTAAAGCCTTGTCAGGGGAAGAGGACGATGACCCCTTCTGGGCTTCTCCTACAGTGGCCCCCAAATGTACAGGATCTTGCGAGGTGCCAGCAGATGAGAACAGGGGAGCTGCGCTCTCCGAAGGAGCAGGTGATGGCTGGCCAGGGGTCAACAACTGGACAGAAGTTAGAGATCTGACCACGGGGGTCACCACAGGAAGGGCATGTGGTCCAGAGGAGACAGAGGCTGACCTGGATGGAATGTCTCCCTGGGCCTGGTGGTAAGCCCAGGGTGTCCAGAAAGGCCATTGGTCTGGAGGCTGTGGAGGCCACGACTGTTGGAGCACCGGCACTGGGACTGGCTGTGCCCACTGCTGCTGGTATGGACAAGGTGGACTACAGTGTTGGGAGCAGTGCCATGAATGAGAGCAGTGCTGTGAGTGGGACCAGGAGCCCCTAGAAGACCAGGGGGACTCTGCCTTGGAGTCGGACGAGTACTCTGAGGTGGACCAAGGAGGAGCCAATGTGGACGCCGGTGGAGCAGTCCCTTGCCTGGCCATAGATTCCGGCTTTCCGCAGTGCCGAGGCAGCGGCATGGCAATATAGGCATCCAGTGCGGAGGTAGGTGCCGAGGCGGTCTGTCCCAGTGGCGGGGCCAGTCTATAATACTGCATCTTGGGGTGGCACTGTGGGTGGAACCGCATCACTGGCTGGTGCCGCACGGGTGCCGGCATTGCTGGGAGGGGTGGGCAGTAGTCTCTAACCTCTGGTGCCATGGCCTCAGATGGCACGGCTCCGGCCTCCTTCCAGACCATCCCATGCGTCCTGGAAGAGGGTGGAGTAGGGGGAGACGAGGGATTGATTCCTAATTGCCATCTCCTTACCCTGAGGCTATGTCTACGCTGCACTGCTCTTTCAGAAAAAGCTTTTTCCTCTTCTTTTTTCAGAAGAGGCTTTTCCAACATTTAGCCCATCTACACTGCACCAATTGTCAGGGAAAATAACCCTTTTTCAGAACATCCCTTCTTCCTCGAAAAAGAACATCTGCTTTTCCAAAAAAATTCAGAAGAGCAGATGTGTTCCTCTGGTATCCTGGAAAAACCCTGGGCTGTGTCTACACTGGCATGAATTTCCGGAAATGCTTAAAACAGAATAGTTTTCGTTATAAGTATTTCCAGAAAAAGAGCATCTACACTGGCAGACTGCTTTTCTGGAAAAGCCCTTTTTCCGGAAAAGCGTCCGTGGCCGGTAGACGCGCTTTTCCGGAAAAGAGCCCCGATCATCGCGATCGGGGCTTTTTTCCGGAAAAGACTACTGGGCTGTCTACACTGGCCCTTTTCTGGAACAGTGTTCCGGAATAAGGACTTATGCCTGAGCGGGAGCAGAATAGTTTTTCCGGAATAGCGGCTGATTTTGTACAGTAGAGCATCGTTGCTTTTCCGGAAATTCAAGGGCCAGTGTAGACAGCTCGCAGCTTATTCCGGAAAAGTGGCTGATTTTCCAGAATAAGTGGCCCAGTGTAGACACAGCCTAGCAGTGTAGCTATACCCTGACAGTTCCAATCTCTTTTCATCCAGTTTCATTCCCCCTCCTATTCTCTTTCTTTCCCCCACCTGTTTCCCTCCCTGATTCTGAAACCAACTCTCCTTGCAAATCCCAGACGCCCCTCGCCTGGCTCCTTGTTCCAATCTACATCCCCCCCAGGCCTTCCCTATATTGCCTTATATTCGGTTCTGCATTTGAATCAGATGACTTCCTCCTCCCTGCTGGCAGGGCACTATCAGGGGTATACTGAGAGCATAGAAAAGTCCAGCTCTTAGTTCCAGTATTCAATCCCACCCTGCCTGCAGATACTGAGAGCAGCCATAACCTCATAGCCCTGGCCTGGATCATGCTCACCACCTCTGTGGGAACAACACACATACATAGTCTACTCAAAATTAGGAGCTATGAGAGGGTCAAATATGCTCTGTGAGGCTCTACTGATACAAACTAATTTTTTTTCAAAGATTTCTCATCTGGTTATATTTGTGCAGAGTTTCCCTTGGATGATAAAAGGCAAATCCCTGACAAAAAGGACACCTCTTGCCACATTCAGGATCCTGGGCCAAGTAACAGAAGCCTCACATTTCCAAAGAAAAGGTTATTAGATTTTTTTAATGATAGAAAAACTGGTTAGAGGTTTTAACCAAAAAGAGCGTCTTAGACTGGGAATGCTGGGCAGCCTGAATAATAGCTGGTCCTATACTATCAGCCTTGTCTGTAATAATGTATGGGTTGTCTTTGCACTGCACAACGACAAATTCTGAGGTGGGGATGAGTTAAATTAGTGAATCTGTAATCTAGAGACATGCACTCTTAGGAATAAAAGCTACAAGACGTTGTCTTCACATCCAAGGATAATAAATGGCATAATAAGCTGGGGAGTCACCTGTTCCAGTGGATAGCAAATTGTAATGTCTAGTTATGCTAATAGCTCTGTGGATGAATGCTGTTGGGTTGGAGTTCAGAAAAGTAATCCCTCCGTAAGGGTTAGCAATGATGTAAGAGCATGTGCAATGCTGGTGACAAACAAAAGAGTGGACACAGGCATTTTCAGGTCCTGAAAGAGACTCATGGGGGCAAGATTAGCAAATGAACCATGCTACATGCAGGAATGGCTGGATCTAAAAAGGTTACATGTCCGATGAGGAAGGAGAGGAGACAGTAGTATAAAAGCGGGTTGTGATGTGTATCAGTTATAGGTTGATAAATAGAACATATGTATTTGTGGTGACAGTCATTGAAAAAATTACACTTACGTCAGTTTTCTTATTTCGAATGTCAATTTCATACTGAAAACAATGGTCTATATCTCCTTCTTCATGGCTTAGCTGGGGCCGTTTCCATTGCATGATACACCTTGACTCGTCTTCGGAACAGTTTACAGTGATATTGACTGGAGGAGTTAACTTTTCTAGAAGAAAATCATCAGTATTACATTTGATAAAGAAGCAGGTTTTGATAAAGAATCAGCTTCCATTTGGAATTCAACCTTTGCATCTGTAACAGTTAGAAACAGCTTGAAAAAAGAAAAGAAAAAAAGCTTGTGTTCTGGAGTATAGCTCTGAAACTAATACAGGCTCTTCTCCCAGTGAAAAATGGTTCATGCCATGAGAATTAAACAGAATGACATTTTTTCCTTACCAATTTCATAGAGTTTGATGGACTCATCATAAAACTGAATCTCCGATTCATTGCTGTCCCCCTTCACCAGGAAGTAAACTGGATCATTAATTATTGTCACATGTTGAAAACTGCATGCGATATATCTCCCAAGGGCATCTTTTATGTAATATGGACAATTTACTACACGTTCTTCCCTGCGTATACCAAAATGTTTCAGTTAAACATAAAAAAATGGCATTTGTAAAATCTGAATGGAAAACTTCCTTGAGTCAATGAAAATTATTTACCTTGCATACTGTAATGAAAGAAAATATTGGGTATCATCTGGAGCTTTCCTGCCAGCATCCCAAGTGCAATTCATGAAGGAAATATTGTAAATCACACAGGAGAAATTTTCAACACGTGTTCCATTCTTGCCTGGAAACCAAGAAAAGTTACATGTGCATTTTTGCAACATGAAAAAAAAAAGTGAGTTATGGGTGCAAGCAGGTACAAGTCTTCATACAGTAGGTCAGATGCAGAGAAATTCTGATCATCTGCAATTTCAATTAATATTAGATAACTAAAAATTTAGGTGCCTAATTTTAGGCATGGAAGTTTGAAAACTTTTGCATCACATTTAAACATAGTGATTATTCTTAGTTTTCATAATGACTACCAATAAGATTAGGAGCTAAGTTTGTATTAGTCAGCCACAATGAGGCTCTTTTAAGCCAGAAATTGCATCAGTGGGGAGACCTAGGGTGCGTCTACGCTGCAGCCGTAGCTCGAAACAAGCGACTTAATTTCAGCTACGCAAATCACACAGCTTATTTGGAGTCAATACATTTCAAAATAACCTGCTATTCCGAAACATCTCTTATTCCTCGTGGAATAAGGGATGTCGGAATAGCAAGGCTGTTATATTTCAATATAATGGATTTGCTATTAAGACGTGGGATAGCTATTTTGGGATACCTCTTGGTTTCCCAAAATAATGCTGCAATGTAATTGGAACCATAAAGTGCTTGCTGTTTTATTTTGCTATGCACCATTTTAATCCCCACTTTTTCTAAGAGACTATTAGAAATAAAACAACTATATCACACACAGATGTTTCTATCTTGCAACTTACTCTGTAAGGCTGTGTCCAGACTCAGGGTTTTTTTCGGGAAAAGTAGCCTTTTTCCGAAAAAACTTCACCTGCGTCTAGACTGCAGCCGCGTTCTTTCGAAATTAAATCGAAAGAACGCGGCTTTTCTTTCGACGGCGGTAAACCTCATTTCACGAGGAAGAACGCCTTCTTTCGAAAGTGCTTCTTTCGAAAGAAGGCGTTCTTGAATGTAAATAGGGCTTCTTCGAAAGAGAGCATCCAGACTCACTGGGTGCTTTCTTTTGAAAAAGCGGCTTGCTCTTTTGAAAGTTCCGCATGCAGTCTAGACGCTCTCTTTCGAAAGAGGCTTGCAGTTTAGACATAGCCTAAAAGTGGAAACTTACTCTGCCACAGTGCCACAGTTAGGGCAACCATTGGTTACAAATGGCATCATTGCAGTGGATTTGCAAAAGCATTTTAATACAGGAAATGAAATAAACAATGACTTCTAGAAGCCAATATTCTGACAGGGTTTTTTCTCCAAAATTTTGTGGATAGACCAAAGCTTTCACAAACACTAGTGCATTACCTGGGGGAATGAATCTGATTTCTTCTGAATATTCAGTGCCATTGTATGTTCCTTTAACTCCCAATATTGCCCCCTTATGTATAGCGATAGCCTCACTTGTGCTAAATATGCAAGTTTTCTCTGACACCTGAAAAATAACATGCATTTGTATTAAGCCTTTGTTTTTCCTTCCCAATTTTAAGTGATTCAAATTATGGGAGACATCCAAGCATAAGTCAATTGAAACACGTAGGACTTCTCACAATGTGTAAAGTTAAGCAGAGATATAAGTCTTTTCAGAGGTGGCATCTTTGTTTGCTCAGTTCCAGCTGCATTAATTGCCTTTCATATTTCTGCAGGAAAATCTAGGGCATATACTAAGAGAGGTACCATTGAACACTACCAGTGTCCTTCCTCCACTGCTCTCCATCCAGACTCTATGGAGTTCCTTCAAAAAAGACTATAGAAGCTTTTGCAGGGATCCAGTATGGTAGCAACAGGCTCTCCTCTCTTCTTGAAAGGTAACGGTAGAGCTGTATCCTGAGGAGTCTGTCCTTGGATGATTCCTGGGAAACGTTCTGAGCCTCAATATGTAACGGATGTGCAGATGGCCCCAAGAATTTGCTAAACTATGATATGCATTATCAGAAGTGTTCCAAAAGTTTTTTGTTTTCCCAAGAATTACATAGGGACTTATTAAAGGTGCTAGGCATATGATTTGTATCTCTATTGTAAAATGTTTGCTGTCTACAGATTTGTGCAAGAATATACTTTAAAATTAATATATATAATTATTGAAACAATTTATATTCTGGAGCTTATCTTTACTGCCAGAAAGATTAGCGGTGTTGTCTTTGATTCATCACTTCAACACTGCAATTTGACACCCCACTGAGTTATATTGCAGAAACTGGAAACACAGATGGCACTCAGGGCTATCATTTTCAAATGAAAAAATCTCTAACCCCAAGAAAACAGTGTGATGATCCTCTATGAGATCCATAGCCTTGAAAAATGAAACCAGAGAATGAGGAAGCTGAAATGTTGAAAGTGTATCTTGGAAGATGGGGAAGGCAGCTCTCATATGAATGGAAAAGGGAAGCAGGCCTGACTCACAGAGTTTTAAAGGTAAGGGTTCGTTTCTTCTTTTTTATTATTGTAAATATATGTCTCTTGTGTTTATGCTGCATTCACAGTGAAAGCTATATTCCCTGTGGCCTACTCCCCTTTATGAGATCTGACCTCCTGCTGGGCAGAATCAATCTTACTGGAACTAGCTATCTTATATGGCCCTCATTACCATCACACCTCATTTCCTCACAAGCTAGTGAATGTTCCCATTTTGTAGATGAGAAACTGAGGCATAGAATGACTTAGTTACTTGCCCAAAGTCACACAGCGAATCTGTGGCAGAGTAGAGATGAAGTTAATTCCTTAGTCCATGGACCTTCCTCCTTTTCAGAAAGCTCTGACTGAAAGCACATTCACAGTGATAGAGTTGTTAAAACTGTGATGGGGTACCTCTAAAATTACTATTTAAATCTGATATGTTCTTATATAGCCACTTTACCTTAAGTCCCAAAGCTTCTCTGTGGGCACCTGAAAGATCCCAGCTCTGAAGCAATGCAGGAAAGATCAGAGAAGCTTCATTAGCTTCTATCCATTCCTGACTAAACAAAATGTGGCAATTTGTGTAGATTGCAGCCATCAGAGGCTCTTCAGGAAAGGGCATTGTAAAAGCAAGGGCCTTCTGCTTGGACACCCCTTCTGTGCAATGGATACTCAGAGATATTAGAAAAAAAAACTGCCCCCCAGTAAAAAGTTTGGCCAGGCCACTCTTGCTATAGTGGGCTGCAGTAATCCTTGGGAGAAACCAGCTGCACCCTTCCTGTATACCATTGCCTTTAGAAAAGGGAAGATGTGAAAAGGGGAAATTAGCCTCAGACTCTCCCACCCATCACCTTGGCATGAGAACTGCGGTGCTTACCTGGTCACATGAAACCTGCACAGTTTCGGCCCAGCCCCTGTGACACAGACCCCCACTTGGTGACCATTGGGCCAAATATGGTAATATGGAAGCACGGGAAAGCGATGTGCAGACTTGGGGATAAATACCCATCGCACAGTTCGCTCGAGGAGGTCTTCGCAACACACGCACCACCATGCATGCACCTTCCCGTATACTTCAAAGTGCTTCCAGCCTGATCAGCGAACCAGCCACCTCCCCCGACTCTTGGGCGTAACCAAGGCCTTTGCAACTGAACCGATATCTTTGAAATGTTCCCTGTGTTGTGTACGTTGGTATGTACGATTTGATTTTCCTTGTTGTATAGCTTAGTGTTATAGTTGTTTGGTAGTACATAGAGTTTGTAGTTATCACTATTATTAATTAGTGTAGCTTGATATCTTTAGAGCAGAGACTATTCCCCTTGCTGTTCCCATCCTTATATTTCTGATATGTTCAACTAGAAATCGTAGAATAAATATAATAAATATTGTAAATTCATTACTGACATGGTCAATTAAAAAACTTAGAATAAATACTGTAAATTCATCACTGTGATAAATAAATATATTTTATTCACTAAAACAGTCCACCTGGTTCTGTCCTTCCCCCCTTGGGTATGCATCATCGGACCTGTGGTTCTCACGACAAGAGAGAATCTGTGTGTGTCTGTGGATGTGTCCAAATTACCAGTTGCTTCTATGTGAGGGCAAATCCCAACAGGAACCAGAAAGGAGAAAATGTTGCCAATGTATGTTTCCAGAGTTTGTCCTTCTCTGAGTGACTTATTGCTGCACAGGGAATAGACAAACTGGGGAAATAGTCTGAGGTAAATAGGAGGAAATTCAAATTTGATGTAGAAAGGAACATTAAGTAGCACTCATGAAATGGGAAATGACTGTCTGGAAAGGGGTACTGAAGAAAGGAATCTAGGATCATAGTGGACTACAAGCTCAATGAGTCAACAAAATGACATGTTGCAACCTTCCCTCCAATCAGTCTGAGATTTATTAGCATGAGAGTTGTAAGTGAGAAATGAGAAGTAATTCTTTCACTCTACTCTGCACTAATTAGCCCTCAGCTGGAGTATTGTGTCCAGCTCTGGGTGACACATTTCAGGAAAGATGTGGACAGATAGGAAAAAGTTCAGAGAAGAGTAAGAAAAATGATTAAAGGTCTAGAAAACTTGACCTATGAGGAAAGAATGAAAGAAGTGGGTTGTTTAGTCTGGAAAAGAGAAGACTGAGAAGGGGTATGATTACAGTTTCAGATACCTAAAAGGCTGCTACAAGGAGGACAGAAAAAATATTCTTCTTCACCTTTGACTGCAGGATAAGAAACAATGGGCTTAAATTGCAGCAAGGTACATTTAGGTGAGACATTAGGTAAACCTTCCTTTTAAAGCGGTGAAGAACTTGAGAAAACTGCTGAGGGAGACTGTGGAATCTCCTTCCTTGGAGATTTTTAAGAGCAGGTTAGACAAACACCTATCAGTGATGCTTCAGGTGGTGCTTAGTTCTGCCCTGAGTTCATGAGAGTTGGCCCTCTCACGAATCTTTCCAGTTGTATGATTTTATGATTTGAAGTGATAAATATATATTTTTGTTACTAGAGCAAGAATATAAAAGGAAAAGTACAGTTAGTTATTTCTGTTAATAAGAAAATAGAAAACTTACCTCTTCCTCTCTGTAATCCTGACTTGTTTTTATATAACAGCTGTAGTCAATACCAGTGAGGCTGCTGTCCCAAGTCAGCACTTGGTTTGTGTGACTGAATGTCAAGTTGGCAATGGGTGAGGATGATGGCATCACTAAAAGTTTTATGAGTTAATATCAGAAAGGATTCAATATAATTTTTCCATTTTTCAGGTGCAGAGGCTAGTACTTAGCAAGCCTATCACAACAATAGGCAGTGTAACTGCATGGGCAAATACCCCTACAGTGAGATGAATTAAACCCAGTCCTAGATTATCTCAATTATAAAGTATTATACTTACACTCTGTATATACAAAGTCAGCACACCATATCGGAAAGAACAGGACGCACCAAATCATAGAAACAAATCGGAAAGTGGCCACCATCCTTTATTTTTCTTGGAAATAGGAATAAAACCTACAAGAGAAGAAACTGATGCCAAAGCAGACTTAGGTTTCTGTTAAGCTCAATTTCTCTGAAGGACAGAATCAGAGACTTTCTTCTTAGTCCCCAGATTCAGCTACATATGGTAAATCACACATATGCCCTGCAACAAGGTCCACTATTTAAGGCACTATGCTGGTTCTTGGGAGACTGGAGTGCAAGCTTCTGCTTTGTCACAGACTCACTGTGACTTTGGGCTGGCTTCGTAGGCCCAAAGGGTCACAGCCATTGTGGTGCCCTGCCACTCGGTAGAATCCACAAACCCTGGACTAGACAACTAGGCTCTCTGTACAGCGCATGAGAGAGCTAGCTGTGTAAGAAAGGGGCCTATGAAAGCCTGTATGACAGGAACTGAGCTGTTAAAGCAAGCCAATAGCAGATGTGGAAGAAAGGGATGAGTCCTGATCCTCACCCCTTTCCAGGAATTAGATGCCTAAATTGAGGCTTGAGGAAAGCACCTACCTTTGCCTGGGCTGTGCAGCCATGTAACCTTCTCCTGGACTCAGGAACCAAACCTTTCTTGTGGGAGTGGCAGGAGTTCCCTGCTATTTCTGCACAAAAAAGAGGCCGTGGTAGCTCTATAACCTATAGTCTTGGGGTTCAGACACTCAGGTGGGAAGCCTCAGTTCAGTTCTTCCCTCTGCCAGCTGTGGAGAAGGGGTTTGACATGGGGTTTCCCATCTCTCATGGGAATCACTGGATCCGTAATCCCTGGACTGTATAAGCCAGGGGTGTCCAAACTTTTTTCAAAGAGGGCCAGATTTGATGAAGTGAACATGCGTGAGGGCCGACCATTTTGCCTGACATTCTTTGAACCATTAAAATTAAATGCAAATTAACTATTTTATGCAAAGTTTATTGCAAACGGCATACTTTTCATTTCGTCACATGGATGACAAATCTAAACAGGTGTTAAATCACTCTGCCTTTCATATCTGAAGGCCAGATGAAAAAAAAATCCAGGAAGCTGAAATATATGTCAGGAACATTGTAAAGTACATTACATATTATTGGTAATAAAGGTTGTCTGTCAACTTTTAAGTTCAAAAATTATGAACAGGAACATAACACCAAGTATACATGTTGTGTCCAAATATATTTATAACTGATTTAGACCAACTGACATTAACTGAGATTTTACAATGTATTCATCTCAATACATATGGATTCGTTGAGGGCCATAAAAGATAGATATTGCCAAATTACCTGTGGGGCCGTATTAAACCGGAACACGGGCCGCAATTGGCCTGCGGGCCAGACTTTGGACATGCCTGGTATAGCCTGTCACAAACTCTCTCACTAAGTGTGTCATGTTATTGGATTCTAAGGGTCACTGTTGCACCCATGGGGGTGGGGGGTAGGAGGTGTTTGCCCCAAAAGTCTGTACAAAGGGGGCCATGTGAAGTGTCATCTGAAAGTTTCTGTTCCACTGACTCTGTATATGCTATTAATGTACTTGTATAATGTCTATCAATGGAGTTATAAACATGTACATATACATGCTGGAAAATTCTCTGTCTGAGGCTGAGCAGTGGGCAAGGAATGCTGAGCCAATGGCTATGCTAATTAACAAGGGGACAATGCGGCTCTAGGTGCCAATACACACCGCAGAAATGTGACTGCAGACCAGCCAGAATAATGGTTGCTGACTTGGGACACAAGGATAGGTCAATGGACCATGTGACCTGCAGTAACCTGCTCGGGCTAGGAAGAAGCCAGAGGAGGTATATAAGTGCTATGTGGCACCCTCCATCTTGATCTTCAGTTTGGCTCCTGATCCCAGATGCAGCATTGCAGGGAACCATGAGCCAGAAAGAACTGTGGACCCGTCCTAACATAGGATGTACACCAAAGACTTTGAAGCCAGCAGTTATAACATCTCTGCTACGGTCCTGTATTGAGACTTGGTGATTCAATGCATGTAATGTATTATCCTTTAACAACCTTACTCTCATGCTTTTCTTTCTTTTAGTAATAAACCTTTAGATTTTAGATTCTAAATGATTGGCTCAGTGTGCTCTTGTGGGTAAGATCCAGAGTGTAAATTGATCGGGACCTGTGTCTGGTTTCTTGGGACCGAAAGAACCCGTTCGGAGTAAGTGAGATTGGGTTCTTTAACCCCTCACCTGTGTGCTAGGCCTGTGGCTGATTGGGGCACAGGAAGAGCTGGTGTATCAGATGGGATTTGCTCATGAGGCTTCTGGCTGGCCAGACTGGCAGCTGAAGTGCTCGGTGCGACTGGTTTGTGGCCTATTTGGGAAGGTCCTCCAGTCAGGGACAGTAAGGAGCCCCGAGTTTGAGCAATTCTCCCTGAGCGGACGCCCGCAGCTGTGCCCAGACCCGGCCCGGTCCATCACAAAATCAATTTCATTTTCTAATTATGTGATGCAAACTGGAACAGCTGCAACAAGGAAGATTGAGAAAGGCCCAGTAAAGACTATCCCACAGTTTAATGGTTGTGGCATGCAACTGAAGGGGAAAGCCCAAGTTGAAAGCAGTTCTTCTCTTGGGGAAAGTCTACACTGCACAGCTATTTTGGGATACCGGCAGTTATTTCACCATCCCGGGAAACCTTCTTGCATGGGGGATAGGGGTGGCTCGAAATAGTGCATTATTTTGAAATTTGGTGCTGTACAGATGTGCCTAATTTCAAAAAATGAGATACACAATTTGCATAGCACAAATTGCATAACTTATTTCAAGTTTAGGGTGCTGTGTAGACACACCATTGGGGAAGAACTGAACTAGGGTCTGGCACAAGTCAGAAAAGTTTTCTAACCAGTGGGTCATAAAGAAGGCCACTTCCTCTCCCAGGTTTTCCATACAGCTGAAGGCATGTCTCTGGGACTGGGCCCTGCAGGTAAGCTAGGTGAGCACTGCCTAGTTTCACCCGGTTTGAGGTTTATACAGGCATGAGGTAAATGGTGGCCATTGGTACGGAGGCACCAATGTACACATCCCAAGACAGAAATGTGGACACCTTTGGGACTTTAATGACAGAAATGTTGGCACTGGACAACAGTTCACACCTCTAGGTTTAGGTGGGAGTTGAGTAGTTGTTTTGAGGATGTGATGCCTGGATTTAGGACTTAGTCATCTAAAGTGGGAATAGAATGCCTACTGCAGGCCACCTATCCAGGTGGAAGAGGTGGATAAGGCTTTTTTTAAACAACTAACAAAATCATCCAAAGCCCAAGATTTGGTGGTGATGGGGGACTTCAACTATCCAGATATAGGCTGGGAAAATAACACAGTGGGGCACAGACTATCCAATAAGTTCTTGGACTGCATTGGAGACAACTTTTTATTTCAGAAGGTTGAAAAAGCTACTGGGGGGAAGCTGTTCTAGATTTGATTTTAACGAATAGGGAGGAACTGGTTGAGAATTTGAAAGTGGAAAGCAGCTTGGGTGAAAGTGATCATGAAATCATAGAGTTCACAATTCTAAGGAAGGGTAAAAGGGAGAACAGCAAAATAGAGACAATGGATTTCAGGAAGGCGGATTTTGGTAAGCTCAGAGAGCTGATAGGTAAGATCCACTGGGAATCAAGACTGAGGGGAAAAACAACTGAGGAGAGTTGGCAGTTTTTCAAAGGGACATTGTTAAGGGCCCAAAAGCAAGCTATTCCGCTGCGTAGGAAAGATAGAAAATATGGCAAAAGACCGCTTTGGCTTAACCACGAGATCTTGCATGACCTAAAAATAAAAAAGGAGTCATATAAAAATGGAAAGTAGGACAAGTTACAAAGGAAGAAAAGAGGCAAACAGCACAGGAATGCAGGGGCAAGATTAGAAAGGCAAAGGCACAAAATGTGCTCAAACTAGCTACAGGAATAAAGGGAAACAAGAAGACTTTTTATAAATAAATTAGAAGCAAGAGGAAGACAAAGGACAGGGTGGCCCACTGCTCAGTGTGGAGGAAGAAACAGTAACAGGAAACTTGGAAATGGCAGAGATGCTTAATGACTTCTTTGTTTCGGTCTTCACCAAGGGGTAATTTTAGAAGGTAAAATAAAAAAAGAACAAGTTAAAAATCACCTAGAAAAGTTAGATGCCTGCAAGTCACCAGGGCCTGATGAAATGCATCCTAGAATACTCAAGGAGCTGATAGAGGAGGTATCTGAGCCTTTAGCTATCATCTTTGGAAAATCAGGGGAGACAGGAGAGATTCCAGAAGACTGGAAAAGGGCAAATATAGTGCCCATCTATAAAAAAGAGAAACAAGAACAACCCAGGAAACTACAGACCAGTTAGTTTAACTTCTGTGCCAGGGAAGATAATGGAGCAAGTAATCAAGGAAATCATCTGCAAACACTCGGAATGTAGTACGGTGATAGGGAACAGCCAGCATGGATTTGTAAAGAACAAATCATGTCAAACCAATCTGATAGCTTTCTTTAATAGGATAACGAGTCTTGTGGATAAGGGAGAAGCGGTGGATGTGGTATACCTAGACTTTAGTAAGGTGTTTGATACGGTCTCACATGATATTCTTATCAATAAACTAGGGAAATACAACTTAGATGGGGCTACTATAAGGTGGGTGCATAACTGTCTGAATAACCGTACTCAGAGAGTAGTTATTAATGGTTCTCAATCATGCTGGAAAGGTATAACAAGTGGAGTTCAGCATGGGTCTGTTTTGGGCCTGGCTTTGTTCAATATCTTCATCAACAATTTATAGATTGGCATAGAAAGTACACTTATTAAGTTTGCAGATGACATCAAGCTGGGAGGGGTTGAGACTACCTGGGAGGATAGTCTCATAATTCAAAATGATCTGGACAAATTGGAGAAATGATCTGAGGTAAACAGGATGAAGTTTAATAAAGAGAAATGCAAAGTGCTCCACTTAGGAAGGAACAATCAGTTTCACACATACAGAATGGGAAGTGACTGTCTAGGAAGGAGTACGGCAGAAAAGGATCTAGGGGTTATAGTGGACCACAAGCTAAATATGAGTCAACAGTGTGATGCTGTTGCAAAAAAAAGCAAACACGATTCTGGGATGCATTAACAGGTATGTTGTGAGCAAGACACGAGAAGTCGTTCTTCCACTCTACTCTGTTCTGGTTAGGCCTCAATTGGAGTATTGTGTCCAGCTCTGGGCGCCGCATTTCAAGGAAGAGGTGAAGAAATTGGAGAGGGTCCAGAGAAAAGCAACAAGAATGATTAAAGGTCTAGAGAACATGACCTGTGAAGGAAGGCTGAAAGAATTGGATTTGTTTAGTTTAGAAAAGAGAAGATTGAGGGGGGACATGATAGCAGTTTTCAGGTAACTAAATGGGTGTCATAAGGAGGAGGGAGAAAACTTGTTCATCTTGGCCTCTGAGGATAGAACAAGAAGCAATGGGCTTAAACTTCAGCAAGGAAGGTTAGGTTGGACATTAAGAAAAAGTTCCTAACTGTCAGGGTAGTCAAACAGTGGAATAAATTGCCCAGGGAGGTTGTGGAATTTCCATCTCTGGAGATATTTAAGAGTAGGTTAGATAAATGTCTATCAGGGATGGTCTAGTCAGTACTCGGTCCAGCCAGGGGGGCAGGGGACTGG